TGCCTCCATATGGGTGGTCAATAACATTGTACTTTAGGATAGGCCTTGACATTGTCTTTTAAGCTATGAATGCACTCTTTTTCAATTTTTTCATTGCTGGGATTAGTAGATCATATGATGGTCTGATTCAAAGTGGTCCAAACCAATCCATCTCACTTGACTAATGTCTACAAAGTCAATCTTCATGCACTCCATTTCATATTTTTACCACTTTAAGCTTTCTTACATTTATATTTTGTACTTTGCACATTTTAATTATTAATAGTTGTCTCCAACTATTTCTACTCATTTTCAGTTCTTTCCCAACTGAGATTTTCCTTTAACACTACAGCTACCCACATTCCTTTGTTGTTCATAAGGTTTTAAAAGGCCATTTATTTTGGAAATGGATGGCAAATCTTTCCTCCTACTTGGTCTTCCCTTCCTGATTTTGAGCCATGCTGTGTTTTCAGTTGTTCTGAGGACTGTTTCCTGGTCCAAGTATAGGTTTTGCATAAGCACAATCAACTGTTCTGGGATTCCCATTCTCCTCAAGGTTAATAATGCCTTAACATAGTAGAAACACAGATAGATATTCCTCTAGTACTCTTTGCTTTCTGCCAAGAATCATCTGACATTGGCAATAATGTTTCTATTCCCATGGTGTCTTCTAAATCCAGCTTTCTGTTTTCTGGTAGCTCTCTGTTAATGCACTGTTCCAGTCATATCTGGGTAACTTCAGCAGGATTTTATTTGCATGTGATATGAGTGATATTGTACAATAATTTTCACATTCTGTCATGGTTCAAAATCAAGAAGGGATCAAGGATGTGTACAGTCTTCATACCTTTTCATTCTATATGCAGAAGAGATCATTCAGGAGGCTGGATTTTGAGGAGGTATGTGCTGTCAGGATCAGGGGAAGACTCATCAACAACCTATGTTATGTAGATGACACCTTACTTGCTGAAATTGAGAAGGATCTGAAGTGCTTGCTGCAGATTAGGACTGTAGTCTTCAATATGAATTAAAGCTCAATACCAAGAAAACAAAAGTTTTCACTACTGAGACAGTTGGCAGCACCATGGTGAATAGAGAAGAGATTGAGGTTGCTAACAGTTACAGCTTTCTCGGCTCTACAATCAACAGTTTTGGCACCAACAGTCAGGATATAAAAAAATGAATTATGTAAATCCACTGTCAGGAAAATCTCCAGAGTACTGAGAAGCAGCGATGTCAGTCTAGAGACTAAAGTGTGCCTGATCTAGGTCATAGTCTTCACAATTTTTTGTTATGTATCGTAGAGCTGGACCTTGACTAAGGATGACAGAAGAAGAATTGATGCCTTTGAGTTGTGGTGCTGGTGAAGAGTCTTGAACATATCATGGATTACCAAGGAAACAAATAGGCATGTCTTGGAAAGGGTGAAACCAAGTTTCTTCTTGGAAACTAGAATTTTGAAGCTCCATGTCACATATTTTAGGCATGTGGTCAAGAGGGACCAATCCTTGGAGAAGGACATCAGGCTCACAATGCTGGAGGAACAGCACAGAAGAAGATCCTGGATGAGATGGATTGATACAGTAACTAGAGCTATGTGCATAAGTGTGTTGGAGAGTCAGTGAGACTGACTTAGGACAGAGCAGGCTTCAGAGCTGTTATTACATAGGGTCACTATGAGTCACAGTTGACTCGATGGCACAGAACAACAATAGCAACAACAATTTGTTTTAATCTAAGTGCTCTGCTGAAAATTGTCCACCATGGGGGGCCTTTCTGGCATTTGAAAAACCAGTGACATGGCTTCCAGCATCACAGCAACCTATAAGTTATACCAGTTTAGCAAAGTCACTCTCAAACGCTACACTAATAAGAGCAAATGATAAATAAGCAAGCAAATAAAACTGCTAAAATCCAAAGCAATTTGCAACATGCAACTAATTTCCCAATACAACAAACTGACATTGTTGTTTAAAAGTAGACTGTAAAGACAATCAAACATACAAATATCACAGTGCAGAACATCCTTTTCTGGCCCCTGCTGAGACTTCTGCTGGTGTAACAGGATAGAGTCCTAGATGTAGGTATTTGGCATCAACAGTGGCTCAGATGGATCTTTAGTTTATGGTTGTTGTGTACTGTTGAGTAGTAACTGACCCATAGTTTATCCTCCAGTGGATTTTCAGAGGCTGTTTATTGTATGGGAGGAGATTGCCTATCTTTCTCCCATACAGCAGCTGGTGGATTTGAACTTTATACATATGAATTGCGAATGTGATTCCTTACCACCAGTCCACCAGATTTCTCTTATATTTTGTATGTTGTTAGGTGCCGTCAAGTAAAATATGACTCACAGAAAACCTGAAAACAGCTAACCTGAACCCTGCCTTATCCTGTACCATCTTCTTCTTCATCATCATCATCATCATCATCATCATCATCTCTCTCTCTCTCTCTCTCACACACACACACACACACACACACAAACCTATTGCTGAAGTCACCATATCAGTTCATCTCAGTAGGGGTCTTCCTCTTCTTCATTAACCCCTATCTATTCAAACATGATGTTCTTTTCCAAGGAATAGCCTCACCAGCTACCTGTTCAAAGGAAGAAAGATGAAGCTTTTCCATCTTTGCTTCCAAGGAACACTTTGGCTGGCTATACTTTTTCCAAGACATCTCTATTTGTTCTTTTGGTGGTAATATAAGCATATTCACCATTCTTCTCCAACATCACAACTCAAAGGCATCAATTTTTCCTCTGTAATCCTTATTCATTGTCCAGTTCTCTGATGCATAGTAGGCAATTAAGAAGGCCATGGTCTGAATCAGACATCTTAGTCTTCAAAAGTACGTTATTGCTCCTCAGTATTATGGAGAGGTCCTTACTGCAGACTTGCCCAACACAATACATCTCCTCATTTCCTAACTGCTTGTAGCAAGGGTGTCTGTTGCTTCAAGCAAGAGAAAATTATTGACAACTTCAATCCTTTCTCTAGCTATCATAATGTTAACTGTTGGTCCTGCAATGAGTCCTTTGTTTTCTTGATGTTAAGATGCAATTTATAACTAAAGCTGTAGTCTTTGATTTTCTGTAGTAAGTATTTCATCTTCTTCAATTTCAGCCTGCAAAGTTGTGTGCATAACACAAGTTATCAATGAATCTTCCTTCAAACTTGATGACACATTCTTTTTTATGAAATCCAGAAATTTATATATAGTAATATATGCACTTATATAGTAATATGTTATTTTTGTTAGTTGCTATTGACTTGACTACAGTTCACTGGACTTTAAGTGCAACAGATGAGAACCATACTCTTTATTGTGCCATCATTGTTTTCTCCATCATGCTCAAACCCAGTAGCACATACCTTGTGTCAATTCACCCTATTGAGAATCTTTTTCTCTTTGATTCTCTACTTGTCTGAGTATGATGTCTTTTTCTGAAACTGACCTTTTTTGACAACATGCCCAAAGTACAAGAAAAAAAATCTTCACCATCCTTGCCTGTAAGGAGGACTCTAGCTGAACTTACACCACGACAGATTTGTTAGTTCTTTTTACAGCTCATAGTCCATATTCAGTACTCTACTACGAAGATTGTGTTACCTGCACCAGTTAACTTGCTAACATATTGCTGTCTATGCTCTAAAGTGACTGATTTATGTATTTTATATAGGTATACCGCATGTTGTGTTATTTACTAATGTAAATAATTGGGATGAAATTTTTCAAGATGAATTTCCAAACATGTGTAGATCCAAGATTTACCAAAGCCGGGTAATGAATGTTGCTTGTAACTAGTTATTATTGTAAAATCATCACAATAATACTAAGTGTGAAAATACAGTACATAGTATATTCATAAGTGACTGAGCAATTTTATTAATAACTTGATAAGTTCCAGTTTATATGCCAGTTTAGGACTACATGGAAATAGCTTAATTTTCTTTAGATTTTTAAGAATAATTAATTGGGTCATTTCATTGTTATTTTCTTTCTTGAATTATACATAGATTCACCCACATTTAAAATCTAAAACTCATAGTCACTGAATGTATTTTTCCACAGATAAGACAAGTTGTTGAAATGCTTACCATTCCTATTTCCAATATCTTCATGGTTGAAAACTATGCCTCCGATAGGCAGTTGGAACCCTTCAAGGATAGTTTGATTCTTTCTGTGGTAAGACAGATGTTGAGGATCACAGATGACTTTTTAGAAGATTTGCCTTCTGAGTAAACAGGTAGTATTTTCTTTTCCTTCTCATCTCATAAAGTACTGGTGCCTTTTAAAACTTTTCAGAGCTATACCTTAATTTGAGAGTTGTGACTTATTTGTCTCTCATTTTTACTAGCCATGTTAATGTGCGAGCTTTGTTTCTTTTTTTTTTCAGATGTAATTTCTGGAACATCAAGCCTCTGTATGTGATACTGGCCACTTGATCTTAACACTTGGCCAAGCTTGGAGTGGCAAGCCTCAAATGGAATAAATTGCTGCTGACAACCTCGACGTTACACTTCCTTTCTTGTCCTTGACAGTATCTGACTGATGGTCTCTTCTAAGATCAGTCATATCTCAAGCCCAAAAGAAAACAGTGGTGGAGGAAAGCATGCTCAACCACAACCTTTTTATAAAATTTACAATTTAGTTTATGCGATACCTTGCTAAATGTCCCCGGCAAAATCAATTGTTCATTTTTTCTATTCTACTGTATATAAAACTATTCTGCTTTATATAGAACTCTGTGAAAATGCTGGACAAGTTGACTGATGATTATTATGCTGTATGTATATATATCTAGATGTGAATTTTTCCAGAAACAGGGTTTGGATTTTACTTGTTTTAATATTCATTGAGATTTTTCCCTACACCTGAAAAAATGCAGAGCATACTTCAGTCTTTCTCCTTTTAGAAGTGAAGACTTGGAGAGAATGAAATGCAGAAGAATAAAGGAAGTAGAAGAAACATAGATTTTCACTTACCTCTGAAAATAAAAATTGGCTTAAATGTAGAAACATTTTTAAGTGAACCTACATTTTATTTTCATGGAAAATATTTTCTTCCTCTAACAAACTTTATACATATGTTGTTGTTGTTATGTGCCATTGAGTCACTTGCAACTCATAGCGACCGTATGTACAACATCCCTAAACTCTGCACTGTCCTGTGCCAGTCACACCGTCTACAATACACCTATCCAGATTACCCCAGTCACTGAATCAATCCACCTCATAGGGGGTATTCCCCTTCTTCACTGTCCCTCTGCCCTACCAAGCATGACGTCCCTCTCCAAGGACTGGTCCCTCCTTACAATATGTCCAAAGTATGTTAGACAGAGCCTCAGAATCCTTGCCTCCAAGGAACAGCCCAGTTTGACCCTTTCCAGGATGAATCTGTTTGTTTTCCTAGCAGTCCATAGTACCCTCAATGCTCTTCTCCAGCACCACAGCCCAAAGGCATCAATTCTCCTTCTATCCTCCTTAGTCATTGTCCAATTCTCTGATGCATAATAAGTGTTAGCAAAGACCATGGCCTGTATCAGAAGCACCTTAGTCTCCAAAGAGACACCATTGCTCTTCAGTACTTTGGAGAGGTCCCTAACATCAGACTTTCCCATGGCAAGTCCAGGCTGGGTTTAGAAGGGGTCGTGGTACTAGGGATATTGTAGCTAATGTTAGATGGATCTTACCTGAAAGCAGGGAGTACCAGAGGAATATCTATCTGT